TGAGGACAGCGTTACAGATTCGTAATTACCCATCCGAGTGGTCTTGCAACATTACACCACAGCAGAAATGTCTGACGACAACACTGTAATCTCTGTTCCTTCCCTTTTGCATTGGACGGGCACAATGGCAGTCCTTGTACTCCTCAGTATACTAAGGCCTTTTCTAAACTGGTGCTCCTGCTATTGTGCTAACCTTTCTAATCCCATAGGAAGGTGCATGTGTTCCCTGCCAATGGTGGCACAACAGCTGAGCTCTCTCAGGGTTCCTGCCTGTAACATATCCCTTAATGCTATAACTGCACCCCAAAAGTAATTGGGTGAAGCTGTTTAATTTGGGCACTTAAGGAAGCTACAACAGCTGTGCATGACAGAGGTGACGCATCCAGGGATGGACTGTAATGTCTTGCAATTTTATTTACAAAGGATATTGCTTGTTTTCTACCCCTACCTCTCATTGTCCTTGTTAGTTAAAGCAGAACTACTAGATTAGTAAGGGGGTAGGACCTCATTCTTCTAATGTTACTAAACAAGCACTCAAAGCTTGTGTTTCCAGTTTAATCCATTTTTGCTGTAAGAAGTAGTTCTTGGGAGGAGATTATTTTTTAGGAGTTTAAGATCCAGTCTCACTACTGGGTTAGTGCATTCACAGATTGTGTCACCTTCAAAACCAGCCTTAGGTTAAATGTTTCCCACACACATGGGGAAAACTGGACCCTTAGAACCTAACAGATCCCAGAGAATTACTAGGATAATTTTCAGTGTATATGGGCAACCTTGTGTAGGTTTTCCAAACCGAAGCTAGCTTAGCCAGCCACTAAACCAGGGGTGGGCAAAATGCGGCCCGCCAGACCACTCTATCCGGCCCACGAGGCGCCTAAAAATTTTTGAAAATTAGTATTTATCTGCTCCTGGCTGCCTGTCATGCAGCCCTCGATGGCTTGCCAAAACTCAGTAAGCGGTCCTCTGCCCGAAATAATTGCCCGCCTCTGCACGAGACAATCCCCCTAAAGCATAAGTATGAAGCCACTGCATTGGCTTCTGCAACACCTGCTTTCCCAGTAGACAGGCTGCCCTTTTACTTGGCTGATTTCCAGCTGCTGGAACAGCACCTTATGTTGGCTTTCACCAGTTGTGAAATAAAGCTGCCCTTCAGCTAAAGGCTGAACCCAGCACGCTACCTTGCCTGGCATAAAGGGAGTGCAAAGAGGATATTGGATCTGAAGGAAAGTATTGAGGTGAAGATTTTTACTATGGACCTTGAATCTTCGTCTCAGTGTCTGTGGAAGCATCAGCTCCATACTGTTAAAAATCATTCAAAACATTGTATTCTAGCACTTGTTTTGCATCATACCTTAAATACATCTGTCAGAAGCTGAGCTGACATGCTTCCAATTTGGGAAGAGAGGTCATCCATTAAAGTCAGCCCCTCCTAGAAAGGAAGGCAGCAGACTCTGTACTGTCCTTAGACAGTGACTTGCAATACTCTTAATTTGAATTTAAGAGTCTCTGTTTTATTCAGCACCTAATGTAACCAACTCCTTCCCTGATACCTGTCATACTGACACCAAGAAACATCAACTAATAATCACTACTGCTTTCTGGTAGCCTGTTTGCATTCTTCCATGCTGCCTCTCATCTTTGGGAGAAGATTCCTATAAACATCTGCAAAGCTACTTCATTATTCTTCTTTGAACTCCTCCTTTCCTGTGATCCTTACAGAAGACTTTGACAAGATGTGAGGTGCTAGGAATATTTCCGGTCTTGCAGGCAAATATTACCTCATTCTTTCCTTGTGCTTCTGTCTGTCTGCAACAAAAATTATTAAGCCAAGAGAGATCTTTTTGTTCCGTGTCTGTACAGCACCTAGCGTAATGGATCCAGCTCTGTGACTAGTACTTCTTGGAGTTATGGTATACAGGAATACAAGTATGGATTCATTGCGCAGTCCTGGCCATGACTGGTGCCTCTGGACACCAATTTATCTGAATAATAAATAATAATAGGAGTGCTGATTTGCCTGTTTAACTTTATCAGACTGTTTTAGACTTGGAAACATGCCCTACTGTAGAGGAAATGTCCATACTGTGCTATGCATTGATGCCAAATCATTTCCCTAGTTGACTTCCCTGCTGGGTGGTAAAGTGCATTTTTCTGTTTTTATTTTCATTCCATCACATTCTCTATCTCAAGAGAAGGATTTTTTCTCATCTGCAGTTTAATCTACATATTGTTTCAGTTTAAGAGAAAGTAACTTCATACACTGCACTGCACAAATGTTCCCCACTCCACGCTGGCTATTAATACCAATAAAGTTGCAGACAGACCCAAAGAAAAGAAACATATGAAAGATACCGACCAGTGAGATATCCGAAAAGAGATTTAAAAGGTAATGGCCCTTACAATATAGAAGAAATAAATTGCTTCATTAAAATAAAATCATTCCTTCCTAGCTACATCTTTCCTTCAAAATAGCTCCCTTGATGTAACTTCACGTGGGCAGTAAAATTCAATTCAGTGTTAGTCACAGAGAGCTTCTGCAATAACCAGAACATTAATTAGAGCTTTCCAAGCACCAGCATGCTGAAGAAAATCAATACCCTTACACCTGTGCAACTGTGTTGGTGCCTCCATCAGCACTAGGGACTTGCTCTAATTCTCCCATTGGCAGTCCCCATCTCGGGAGCAGAGATCTGAACATCCCTAAGGAAACAGGCAGTGCTCCTCTGAGGCATGATTTGCTGCAGTGTACATTCCCACAGTTTCAAATAGTCCCAACTGAGACTTCGAGCAGGTTTGAAGCAATTGTGCCAGGGATTGAAAAGGCCTTCCTGATTTTAATTTTGATCTCCTGGATAAATAATCTTGGAAAGAAATTATTATAAATATTTATTTCACTCATGCACTAAATACTTGAAATATGTAAAAATTGGGGTGGGGAGTAGTTTTAGACCTTTTATGACAAAAATTTGGATTAGGAACATTGGCCGTAAATTTTTTAGTTTTACTTTCAGCCAAAAAGAAGAAAGAGCCCTTCTCTCCTGGGCAGTCGCAAGCATTTTTGAACATGGGTAACAATGGTTTTCTCTAGTTTAGCGTAGTCCCTGTGAGTCATTCATATGGCTGCAACCACAACCATTCTATTCTAATTAAAGACAACTACACCAAGAATGCGTAATAATTAGGTTACGCATCTGCCACAAAGGTTGATTGAAACAGCCTCCAAACACTGTGCTCTCGGGTAGGCCTCCTAAACTAGTTCATTACTGACCTCACCATGCAATAACATAATTCTACAGAAACCTGCAGAAAATTAGGGCAAAGACTACATATAAATCTGCACTGTTTTAGCAGGGCTTGTAACTTCAGTGGGAGAAAGCCACCCACATACATTAGAGGCACACAAAGATAGGAGATCCCTGTCTTAATGAAGATGAATTGCAACTGGAGAGCCCATTGGTCTATTTCAAGCTTTCTTGCTGCTTAATGTGATGGAGCAAAATGCATCTGAACTGAAAGGGTGTTTACCAGATCACCCACTGATTACTCTAGTTTGTGTTTAAGAAATATTTAAGAAAATAGTTTGCAGATGAATAGCGCTTAAGACCCTTTGACATCATGCATTTCTGTGATTTTACACTGGACTTGGATAAGCAAGTTATTTGGCCTGAATATAGGGAGACATGGAAAATAAAAAAACAATATTTAGCACTGTAGTGGGCTAAGCTGAAGTGGCAGTCACAGCGGATTCATACAAAACCATTTAGAGCCACGTGTCACAAGAGAGGCTGTGTCAGGTGCTCATTTATCAGCTTTGTTATTGGGAGTTGCATGTTCCCAGCGAGAGATCAAGCCCCAAATAGTGAAACAGATTACTTGATCAGAGGATCACTGTCTAGGACTAGTTTAAAATTAAATCTAGGGAAGATCAATAATTATTTCACTTAATTTCATTTTATTCTTGGAACAGTATTTCTAAACTAGAAGAATGGCATGACCGGGGGAGGAATTTTATGCAGCCATTTGTTATGTAGTGCTCAAAATTTACTAGATACTTCCCACAAATAAAAAGGCACAGTCCATGTCCCTAGGAGTTGACAGTCCATGGGTAGCTAATGAATGAAACCAACAAACAAAAGGGATGAGGAGACAAATAATAGGGCCACTGATTTCAGTGAGAATTCTGTCACTGATTTCATTGTGGGCCAGGATCAGGGCCTGTATTGTGGAAGGTTAATGAGCATTTCTTGGTACTTGTGCCTGCGTAAGTAATATTAGATCTCTTTCTCAAATAATTAAAAATTAGAGGACTGTTTTTAAGTGCTGGCAGTGCCAAGACCCCATGGGTATGGTACCCGATGCTTTCCTTTATCAAACACTTTGAAATCTGCAGGTGGAAGTGCTGTATAAGAGTCAAGGTTTACTATTAGTGGTTCTAGTGCTATATGAAGTTACCATGCACACAAGTTCTAGTGTTATATGACATTACTATGCAGTCAGTCATGCTAGAGTATGTAGAAGCCTCTGACAATATCCCCATTTCTAACACATGGTATAACTAATGCTTTGTTTAGAACAATTTTTTTGTTCTGATGTAATTCTTTTGGTTCGTGATGCAATTTTTTTTGTCCCCAATAAAAGTATACCAATACAATCCATAGTGCGCCTGCTGTGATGCTGGTATAAAGCTGCTTTATAGAAAAACAGATTTTTCCTCTTCCTGAATTGGAATAGCTATTCTATATAAGCAGTGTTATAATTCTGCTGTAGGGGATTATATGGTAACTAACTATACCTAACTAACTTTAACTACACTGTTATATCGAAAACAGTACAATCTTTTGGTTTAAATGAGGCCTAAAAGGTGCATTATTTGTCTCTCTACCAACTCCCTATTACACTTGGTCAGTCTTTCAACAGCAGAACTAAGGTCATACCCATACTGCATGGGCCCATCCAAATTGTAAAATACCCTTTATCATCCACACTTAAAACATTTTTACCTGGCATGGAGATGTCATTAGCTTGGGTTGGGATATCTGGCAGGAGGTGTAAGATAGAGCCTTGTGGCTTCCAAATAGGGCATGAAGCCATTCTCTCTGCAGTGCGGACTAGTGATGACCATCTTCCAAAGCCTCCCCACAATTCTCCTAAAAGATAGACAAATTCTCTCACAGTTGACAAGGTGGAATCCTAGAGCATTTCAACACGAAGAGCCTTGTGATATGTACCTAAATGAACATGGGCAGAGAGGGACGAGTAGCAGAGCTTTGCAGCGGGAATACTGTGCTAGCTGTATATGAGTAGTTGATACTGATCAGTTGGCTTAAATCTGCAGTAAAGATATCCCTTAAGATTACTGACTGATGTGAATGTGCCCTGCAGAGAAAGCAATCTGGCTGGATGTTCAGAACAGTGAACCAAGAGTCAACGCCTGTGTTCTATTCCCAACTTGTCGCTGAGTTGCTGCTTGGTGTTAGACAAGTCACACATGAGTAAAACAAGACACGCTGCTAATTTCCTATGGGAGTTATGAAGCTACAGCTTTGTAATACTTCCTTAATAGCCTCACCTCAAACATGCTACATGTTGTTCAAGATGAGCCACATGCATCCGCAGGGGGCCAGAATTTGGCCACATATGAAGTTAAGGAAAAGGATGGAAAACTATTATGAACATATCTGGGAAATAAGCAGCATTAATGTGTATACACCAAAAACAATGTGCAGAGTAGGCAGACCCCAAATTCAGCCAGAAGCAGAAATCACGGAAAGAAAGCTTAAAATCACTAAAGAATGTACTCATTTTACTGTCTCACAGGACACCACCACCTCTGTGCGGATAGGTCTTATGATGGAAGAAATGATCTTCAACCTTGCAGATACGCATTTGTTCTTTAATGACCTGGAGGTATGTAGCTACTTACTTTACTTTAACAACTCTTTATTTATCACATGCACCTGGCTTATCCTTGGTTTTCCAGCCCTGACATTTAGTTTAGTGGGCCTGGGATGACTTGTTGGAAGCATGTTTCAGAGGGTACTTCTGCCATTTTCACTGTTACGGACTTTTTAAGAAAAGTAGAGTAACCATGACGCCTATTGGCACTCTTGCTAAATCTAATAATAGAGACAATGCTGCCTTTTCCTCCTGTAATTTACTATTAAATAATTTATTAAACTATATTAGCATAGATCTTATAGGACATACAACAACTAATTTCTATACTGGTTCCAACCAACAGAAATGGTTCCTTGTCCCTGTAATCTTTATTCTACACTCATAGACACTAAACCAAAGGGCTTCTGACAGTCAACCCCATAGTACAAACTGAGACCACATACATGTCTTTTGCACAAAGAAGCCAGGAAGTCTTTGCTAGCTGAGGGGACATCAGCTCTGTTGATGTATTGCATCAGGTAAAATACGAATTTAACATAACACAGATTCAAAACACATCAAAGGCCTTTTAGACCATGTACTGAAGCCAAAGGAAGGGCAGAATATGCATGACTGAGAAGTCAGCTGTAGAGTGCTGGTGAAAAGCTGTTTGAACTCATAACCAGTCCATCATTACGAGTGGTCTTAAATGAGTAACACAGATTTATTCAGGATTTTCTAAGTAAAAGGCAGGTTTTCCTTGAAGAGAATGAGCTGGCTCCATAGGCACAATATATTCAGGAAATTGTCTGAAACAGTATGGGTCAAAAGGCATCAGTGTTGTGTTGGCATCCCATAGGCACACACCCCTCCCTGCCTATTTACTTGGAAAAGTAAGAATTTGCCAGCTGAACTGGCCCCATGAGGGCTTCTGATTCCTTTACTTTTTAGCTCTTTATAACCCATATGGGGGCTCAATAGAGTTACTGCTTTCTTAAGAAATTTCTAGACATTTTCATTTCCCTTTAAAGAAAAATGGTGTGTAGCACCTGAAGTGACATTTCTTTCTTCTTCCAGCTTTACCCCAAACAGTGGGTACATGAAGTGCAAGGTAAAAATCATGGAGACTAAGTGAGAAAAACTATTTAAGAGCATAAGACACTGTATAAATGAAGATAATCTATTTAGAACATAGCCAACACTTTTCATTCGTGTCTCAAAAGATGAGCAAGTAGTATCAATATTAAGTCCACTGTATAGGTGTAGAAACAGTTGCAAAAGCTACTGATAAGTGGCTTTCCCAAATCTCTATACTGCAGAAGCTCTATGCATATTCTATTAGATCTAGGGTACTGCTGCACAGGAGTCAAATTTGCAAATCAACACATTTTCTCCATGCTTCATCCAGCCTCTAAGACCTGAAATCATGACCATGTTATTCAACTTCAGCTGTTGGTTAACCAAGCACCTCAAAGCAGGAATGCCGTTCCCTCTACTCTTACCAGTGTCAGTGAGGGCTTCTGTGGCTGCAAGGAGAATAGGGTTCTTAGTTTAGGGTAAATTGTTTATTTACAGTGAGTCAGCCTTTGAGATTTCCAGGCTTAAGCCATCATTAAGGCAACAGAAGCCACTTGAGGTCAGGACCTAGAATTTCTCTCATTCACTCAAGACCTGACTCATTGTGTGACCTGGAGGGCAAGGGCTAGATCTAAGGGGTTAGGCATCTAAAACTAAGGCTATGTGTAGATGAAACGGGGGGCATGTGTGTACAACACTTTAAAGCAGGTTAAATGCTCGTGCATTGCTTTAATGGTGTTGGTGTTTGCACGTGTCGGCGGTGTATTGTGCAGTAATTCCAGCCGCTGTAGCAAATTTGGCAGCATAATGTGCCTTAAATGACTTGGGGCGTAACACACCTTAAATGACACCTCCAAGGAGTTTTAGTTTGCTGCCCTACAGCCACGGAGTGAAGCACTGGGCTCTGTGCAGCTCAGGGGCTCTGCAGGAAGCCCGTGCAGGCAGCCTGGCAGCAGCCTGGGAAGGCAGGTTCCACCTGAGGAAAAAAAATAATAAACACTGTGAGTCTGCTCTTCTCCCCCCACCCCCGGAGCCTACCTGAGCTGTGTGGGGGTCCGCTGTGTGGGTGGCTGCAGTGCCTGCCATGGAACTGCCCGAGCTAGATGCCTGCAGGTGGGTGCCGCCTGGGGGCGCCGCTGCTGCCAAGGAGGGAAGCACCAACCCTCCCCCTCCACCAGCAGCTCGCCCTCCCCTCCCCGCTGCTGGAGAGGCAGTTAAGTTGCACAGATGCACACATGTACATGACATGGGGGTTTAAAGGGCCCTAAATTGAAGTGGTGTTTTTAAAAACCCACCACTTCAATTTAGGGCCCTTGTCTTGTCTACACACACCATAAGGCACTATGAGCACCTGACTTTTAGGCCAGAGATGGGCAGGTAGGCAACCCCCACGAGTGCCAGAGTGTGGCACATGAAGGCATTTAGCTTAGCATGTGTGCCTGCGGTCAGTTTTGGGCTGTGTCCAGTTTTGGGCTCCACAATTCAAAAAGGATGTGGAGAAGCTTGAGAGAGTCCAGAGAAGAGCCACACGCATGATCAGAGGTCAGGAAAACAGACCTTATGACGACAGGCTGAGAGCCATGGGGCTCTTCGGCCTGGAAAAGCACAGGCTCAGGGGTTATCTGATGGCCACCTACAAGTTTATCAGGGGTGACCACCAATATCTGGGGGTATGTTTGTTCACCAGAGCACCCCAAGGGATGACAAGGTCAAACTGTCA